ATATATATATATATATGATTGGAAGAATATGAATATATTTATTTATGAATAAATGTTAAGTATTCTATAAGTCAAGGGTAGCAAACCAAATCCAAAACCAAGTCACTCTACGCCCGTCTCCTACCCAACAATTGTACCTTAGTAGTGGTTTTTTAGACACACATWCTCATGCTACACTACACTCCCCATTTTTCCATTGACACATACTCACGACTGACTCTCACACACTCAAACATTCAAGCCCTTCCACCCAAACACATTGAAACCTATAAAAATATAACATTTAAACATATATTAAAATATTCGATGTGTAGTTTTGAGTTGTAATTGGTCTACATACATATATATACATATGTATATATGTATATCCAAAGCAGATCCCGAAACCCAAAGAACATTGCGTTCCGTAGTCGTATGTGTGCATGAACTCTGTTCCCAGTAAAATCCTATTAAAAAAAATCCTTAAAAACAACCGAGTGCCAAGTAAAGATCCTAAATTCGTTAGTCGTTGTCCTTTTTATGCTAATTATTATATACTGATATATACATGTTTATCGTGTGTATCCGTCAAGTTTTCTATTCCATCCAAATAATTCTGAATTCCTAAATGTCTACATATATATGAATTTTTTCGTATCGATGTCAGCTAATCCTGTAAAGACACAACCGTATTTCGTAGTTATCGAGCAATAGCCAACCAAAATATTTCCTTCCATTTGTTATCGTAGAAACATCTCTATAGTTTATATTGAAGATCGTRTGAAAACCTTAAAATTGATGGCCTAATTAACTTTATTACAGTATCAACTATTCTCCGGACGTAACTAAAAAGATACAAGAAATAAAATTACCTAATCTAAATATATATATTGAGTATATATTTTTAAAGCAATTTCGGTCCATTAGAAACACCAATAATCAACTTATATTAGCGCTATATATGTATACAATATTTACACAATAAACAAACATTGTAAACGTCAATCACAAAAAAAAAAAAAAAGAATTCATAATTATCTATATTTGAAATGAATTTAAATGTTATTAGAGAGCAAACAAGAAACAACTACAAAGCATATGGAAACAATTTTTGTGTATTTAGATGAACCCAGAAATGTGTTGAACACAATCCCAAAATCACAACAACAAACACAACAAAAAATACAAATACAAATACAAAAACAACACACAACTAATACAAACGCTAAATGCAATCAATCTGAACGCTACAAAAATATATATCAAAATCTAGCTACATGTCGACTACTTAATACCCTAACTATAAATATAAACGATAATTATCATATACAAACAAAATCATATACCAATATTTTTCGAATTATTTAAARTTCATATAAAATATACATATCTACTCATGGCTAAGACATTTCTATATGAACTCAATTAGAATATCGGGAATGTCATTTCTCAACTAATCCAACTATAAATCTATTCGGTCAAATAAAATTTTATTTTTC